TTCAAGCAATTCTCCTGCCTCAGCCTCCCGAGTAGCTGGGACTACAGGCACGCACCATCATGCCCAGCTAATTTTTTGTATTTTTTTAGTAGAGACGAGGTTTCACCTTGTTGACCAGGATGGTCTCGATCTCTTGACCTCGTGATCCACCCGCCTCGGCCTCCCAAAGTGCTAGGATTATAGGCGTGAGCCACCGCGCCCGGCCATTCTGTGACTTTTAGAGGCCTCGTGCTGAATTTGAAACAAGCCTCCTGTCCTGCAGATAATCCCCTGGACTTCTTTCTGGGTGTGTTAAATATATATTTGTACTGGGACTGTCTCTTCCTACAGTGTCAACATGCACTTCACTGTCATTTCATTGTCTTTAGATTGTTGGTGTGAAACAGAGAATGAGGAGGTACCTTCTGAGCAGAGTGTTTCTGTAGAAAGACTGTCACAAGTTAGGGTTCCCACATCAAGTTCCCACATCAAGCAGGCCCACTCCTGTGAGATGTGTGGCCCAATCTTACAAGACGTTGTTCCCCTGGCTGAGCACAAGGGAACACATCTAAGGGAGAAAATGTACACATATTGGGCATTTGAGAAACAATTCTATTCCAATACAAATCATCAGTGCCAGAAGCAGCACATTGGAGTGAAACCCTTCAGAAGTGAGGTGAACAAAGTGTCATTTGTGACGAGCTGCACATTCAGTGAGTCACAGAAGCCCTCTACCTGCATGGATCTTGGGAAGGACTTCCTGGCCAGCTCAAGATTTCTCCAGCAACTGGCCACTCCTACCAGGGAAAAGTCAAGGAGCAGAACCTTATGTTGGACTGCCTTTCACAGGGGAAAAACACATTACAACTGGGGAAAGTGCAACAAAGCCTTCAGCCACAAGCACATACTTGTTGAGCCTCAGAGAGCCCACACTAAAGAAACATGTTACATGTGCAATGAATGTGGGAAGTCCTTTAGCCATAACTCTAGCCTCATCAAACACCAGAGAGTTCACACTGGAGAAAGACCTTATAAGTGTGGAGAATGTGGCAAGTCCTTTAGCCAAAGCTCAAACCTTTTTCAACATCGGAGAGTTCACACTGGAGAAAGGCCTTATAAGTGCAGGGAATGTGGGAAATCCTTTAGCCAAAGCTATAGCCTCAATAACCATCGAAAAATTCACACTGGAGAAAGACCTTATGAATGCAATGAATGTGGGAAATCCTTTAGCCAAAGATCCAACCTCATTCAACATCAGAGAATTCACACTGGAGAAAGGCCTTATGAGTGCAGCAAATGTGGGAAATCCTTTAGCCAAAGCTCTGCGCTACTGCAACACCATAGTGTTCACACTGGAGAAAGACCTTTTAAGTGTGGTGAATGTGGAAAATTTTTTACCTACAATTCCAGTCTCATAAAACACCAGAAAGTTCACACTGGATTGAAACCTTATGAGTGCGCTGTATGTAGGAAATCATTTAGTCATAATTGTAGCCTCATTCTACATCTGAGAGTTCATACTGGAGAAAGGCCTTATGACTGTAATGAATGTGGGAAATCCTTTAGCCAAAGGTCTGCACTTCTTAAACACCGCAGAGTTCACACTGGAGAAAGGCCCTATGAGTGCAGTGAATGTGGGAAAACATTTAGGCGAAGCTCCAATTTCAGTGATCATCGGAGAGTTCACACTGGAGAAAGGCCTTATGAATGTGACCGGTGTGGAAAATCTTTTAGCAAAAGCTCTGGCCTCACTCGACATCAGCAAGTTCACACTGGAATAGGGCCTTATGGGTGTGTTGAATATGAGAAATCCATCAACCAAAAGCCTTACCTCATCAGTTACCACAAAGTTCACATGAGAAAAACACCTTAGATGTCCTGGGAATGTGCTATTTCTTTATTAAATATAACAACATTGGAGGAGATGCAGTGTTGGTGCCATCTGCCTGAATTGAACCTCATTCTTTCAGACATCCATGTACATTCCAGGTATGTGGGAGAATTTGAGGAATTGTATTGTGCTTTCAAATCTGCCCAGGGCTCTTGCCAGATTTTTATCACTATTAGGATTGTAATCCAAGCCATTTGACTTCCACCAGCCAGGTGGAACACACAATGAGCATCATTGACCCACGTCAGTTTGCTTTAAGGAAGTGTCTGTGTTCTTCCATTTGTAGGAGGGATTTGTGAGAAGCCTGAGCACTCTTGTTTCTCTGTTTTGTTTTTGTTTTTGTTTTTGTTTTTGAGATGGAGCCTCACTCTGTCACCCAGGCTAGAGTACAGTGGCACCATCTTGGCTCACTGCAACCTCTCGACTCCTGGGTTCAAGTGATTCTCCTGCCTCAGCCTCCTGAGTAGCTGGGATTACAGACGAGTGCCACTACACCTTGCTAATTTTTGTATTTTTAGTAGAGACAGGGTTTCACCATGTTGGCCAGGCTGGTCTTGAACTCCTGACCTCAGATGATCCGCCGAGTTCAGCCTCCCAAAGTGCTGAAGTTACAGCCATGAGCTACCATGCCCGGCCTTCTCTTTTTTTTTTTTTTATGATGAGTTAGAACATGGATCTGACCTATTTTTGGTTTGGAGGTCTTGATCTGAGTTCTGATGAGTTGAAAAGATGGACTGCCTTATTCAGAGATAATGTTGGCCTCACATGACTTTAATGATTAAATTTTCCAGCCTACATTCAGCATCCTGGGGAAAGCCTGCGGCTGACTGCTCTGGTTTCTTTGATAATAAAGGCCTTACTGTTTAAGCTACTTTTAATCTTAGGAATTCTATTTACTTTAGACTGCTCAAAGGACAATAGAGTTCTGCCAGAATCAATGGAGAAATCGCTTTTATTGGCATCCTGAACTTTGGGGGCCTGAAGGGAGAGAGTTGTGGCAGAAATTAGTTCTCCATTTTGGACTTGGTTTGCATTGCTGCCCAGCACCTCTAAGGACTTATTTCCTCCAAGCAAAGGACTTTGTGGTCCTTATTTGTAGCCTGAATGCCATGATATTTTGTAGGCTAGGAGCTCATCCTGAGGAGGGGACAGTTGTGACAACCTCCAGCACTCCTAGGAACAGTATGAAATTCTTTTGCTCACAGACAGTATTGTATAATGCTCAGTATTGGTGAGAGCGATCTCTTCCCTAGGTTTTGCAAAGGCACCATTTGCCCTGTTCAGAAATCGTAGAGTAGCAACACTGGTTGTAGATTACAGATGTGCCTTAATTTATAATTAGGTCACACCCGGAGAAGCCCAATGTGAGTTGAAAATATAAGTCAAAAAATGCATGTAATACACCTAACCTGCTGAACCTCATAGCTTATTAACAGTATACTGTAGAAGATGAGTTGTTTATCCTGGAGACTTATTTCTACCTTTCTTAAGGTACTCTGATGCTGATAGGGGTACCAAGCAGGAAGAGGTGGGACCAGAAACTGCAAGATCTGTGGGGAGAAAGGAAGGTGGCCCTTGTGACTTTCTTGACAATCCAAGAATCAGGAAGGTTGTGGGTCCTCTGCATGAGAATGAAGTGATCAAAACAAAACTATGAGGGGGAAAAAAATGAAGTGAGATCATGTCTAGTAAGTCCAGTGTCCCCAAGTCTTCAGCATCACCTCTGGGTTCAGGGTCCTCTGGGCAAGGTCCAACTGTCTGTAACCCCCTATAGTTAAGGCTACAACCACATAGTCAACAACACCTGAAAAGTCAAAGCTAGGCATCACTTTGACCTTCAAGTTGTCAGAATCAGAGTCTGACACTAAGTTGCTGGTGAAGGTGTGGAGAGACCCAGGCCTGAGTCACAGGCCTTCTGAGAGCTTAATTGTGTGCTGGGCTCAAGGGAATGGTAGACATTGCCTTTGCACACAATGCAATTGTGGTTGTTAGAAAAGCCTCCCAAGAGGAAGATAAGTACAGACAGCAGCAGTGCCTTCAGGGCTGTGGAGCAGACATCAGAGGAAGGGGGTAGGTAGAAGAGCGTAACAGCAGTTGAGCGTTTGTCCTCACTGCCTGCTCCACGCTGAGAGCCTCCCGCACCATGGTAAAGGGTTAAACTTCCCCAGGTCTGGAGCCAGAAGCCAGAATCTAAGATTGAAATTCAACTTTTTTTTTTTTTTTTTTTTTTTTTT